ATGCTGTTGGTTCAGAGTTCAAATCATGATAGAAAACATGGGGAGTGATTGTATATCTGAAGCTGAATGGAGGTGAGCAACTCTGAGTTGTTACCCTCTTCTGAAAAAAAATATTCAGAGGACCAATTTGAGGAAATGGCTGTGCTCTGCCTTAAAATATGGATTCAATAAAGACACCCCCTAAGGAATCTTTTTTCCCCCCTGTAAAAGGTCCAAGGACACACACTCTCAATCTACTTGGCCACAGGCCATTTAAATGTGTGTCATTTGCTCAGTATCAGTGACATGCTCTAGTTCCACTGGAGCTGAACAGATAAAAATGGGCTGGAAACCCGTATTGCACCAGTCTAACTGAGAGTAGAATTTAAAGTTCTCTGTGGAGAAACCAGAGCTCTCTGCTAAATGACAGGATGAACAATTCTCTCTACACAAAGGGAGGTCAGGTCCTCAACTGACGTAAGCTGGCAGAATTCTAGTGAAGCTGATTTACAGCAACCAAAACTCTTGCTCTGCTTGTGTTATAGACATGTGGGTTGACCCAAATATTTTGAAAAATATTTGACATAAGCTTTTTTGGGTTAGCTACTTAATTCTTCAGTATAGGCATACTGCCTCCCTAATCTGTTAAGACATAGACTTGCCAGGTACATCTCCACTGGGAGCTGAGGGTGTGAGTCACAGCTTGAGAAGACATACCCCACTAGATGTAACACATTCAGGGCAGCAAGCCCTTCTGATTGCTCCTACCTCCATGTTCTATTTTTAGCACAATAGGTCATTTAGAGGTGATGTGAGTAGGTCTTCTCCAGCGAGGCATTACACCCCCCAAGACATACGCAAGAGTTCACAGCCATATGCCTGCGGCGGAAGAATCTGGCAAAATTGATACTTTTTATTGGATCAGCAAATAAAGGCACAACCAGTCATTTAAAGGGCACAGAACTCTAGATCTGGTTTATCTACACGAGCACTCTTATTCCAAGTGAGTTACCAGAGTGAGGGTGTGTTTAGATTACATGGCTCCGTCGACGGAGCCATGTAGATGAGTGTACTCGGCAAAGAGAAATGAAGCGGCAATTTAAATAACCGCTGCTTCATTTACATCAAAATGGCTGCCATGCTGTGCCGATCAGCTGATTCTCGGCACAGCGCAGTAGTCTAGACGGGGATCAGCTCACCCCAGATCCCTTTGTTGTCAGATCCTGTAAGCCTCGTTTCATGAGGCATAAAGGATCTGATGATAAAGGGATCTGGGGTCGGCTGATCCCCGTCTAGATTACCACACTGTGCCGACACTCAGCTGATCGGCACAGCGTGGCAGCCATTTTGATGTAAATGAAGCAGCGGTTATTTAAATTGCCGCTTCATTTCCCTTTGCCGAGTACACTCATCTACATGGCTCCGTTGACGGAGCCATGTAGTCTAGACACACCCTGAGTCTGATGCCAATAAACACACAACTCATTAGCTAGTTTTCTGGATTTGTGTGACTGAGAGACTAATTCTGGTATGGAATATCTACTTAAAATTTTGGTACCTATATGCAACAACGCTCTCGGGGTTTTACACGCACACTCTTGTGGCATGAGACTTTCAAAGAATTCCTCTTGGGGGGTTGCATTTAAAGAATTAGAAGTATCTGAATTAACAAAGTGCAACACTGTCGTCTTTAAACCCAACAGTCCTTTAATGCAGTCAGAGCCCTCCAGGGGGAGTGGCTGCCTCTTTTAGATCATGCTATAGGTGGCCTCTGAACAGCTTTTATATAACTTTCCATAACCCTCTCTAACTCAGGGGTGAGCAATAATTTTTGTGGGTGAGCCACTCCAACGATTTTGGTAAGCGGACACAGTGGTTTATTATGTTAATGGAGGATCTGGGATGGAGTTTGGGTGCAGGAGGGCGTTCTGGATAGGGATCAGGGTGCAGGCAGGGATGCAGGGTCTGAGAAGGAGTTTTGGTCCAGGGGTGGGTTCTGGCCTGGTGCAGGGGATTGGGGTGCCTAACACGGTGTCAGGTGCAGGCTCTGGCTAGTAGATACTTTCCATAGGTGGTGCTTGGCTGGTGGTGCAGCGGGGCGCTCAGGCTGCCTACATGCCATGGTGGCCCCACGCTACTCAAAGCTTTCAGCAGCTGCTGGCAAGCATGTCTCTGCATGCCCCTTGTCAGCGACATGCTTGCTGGCAGCCTCTGATCTTGGTGCCAGGTTTAAAACAAACTAAAGGAAGTTTTTCTTCACTCAGTGCACAGTCAATCTGTGGAACTCCTTGCCAGAGGATGTGGTGAAGGCCAGGACTTTAACAGGGTTCAAAACAGAGCTAGATCGATTCATGGAGGTTAGGTCCATCAATGGCCATTAGCCAGGATGGGTAGGAATGGTGTCCCCAGCCTCTGTTTGTCTGGAAATGGATGACAGGAGAGGGATCACTTGATGATTCCCTGTTCTGTTCACTCCCTCTGGGGCACTGTTTCTTAAACTGTGTTCTGTGTGCCGCGAGGCAGTCGGAGGAGAACAACAGAGTTCAAAATGGCCACCCTTAAAGGGGCAGGCGACCTTTTTTCTCAATAGCTTTCCCCTGACCCTTCTCCCTCCACCTCCGACCTTTTGTTTTGTTTTGTTGCTCAACAAAATATCCATGGTGTTCTTTGGTCTTAAAAAGTTTAAGAAACTCTGCTCTGGGGCATCTGGCATTGGCCACTGTTGGAAGACAGGATACTGGGCTAGATGGACCTTTGGCCTGACCCAGTATGACCATTCTTATGTGTTTCTGGGAGCAGTGAGGGTGAGGCCACGGCAGGCAGGCAGACAGACTGCCTGAGTGCTCTGCTGGGCCATGGGACATTTTCCTCCGGCTTTAGCCCAGAGAGTCATGGTGGGTGGGAGAAAAATGTTCAGTGAGCCGTATTTTGCCCACCCCTGTTCTAAATCCATCCACTTGCAACCCAGTGAATGAGCTGGGGAAGAAAAACACATTACTATATCAGTAAGTCAGCATGGACAAGTCCATTCCAGTCAATGAAACTAGGAACTTTCACCCACCCTTTGACCCACAGTTCACTCGGAAAAAGAGCACAAGATTTATAGATTTGAGGTGGGCCCAAATGTTCAGATTCACATGCAACCTGCATCCACACAGTAATGTGCTGCCAAACTTTTAACAAGGGGTCCTATGGAAGTTTTCAGGCTCCACAGATGGGCTGCATGGGCCAGACACTTTTGTAAAATGCATTCCTCTACTTAAAACATTCATCTATGTTTCCACCACCACCTTGGGCTAGTACCTCATGACCCAATGTGTTTACCTCTCACTGGAGGCACATCTAGTTAACTCCCTTATCTGGAAGCTTTTTCTCAAAGCAGCAGCAGTACTGGTAGGAGCTGTCTTGCAGCTTCTCCTCTCAGCAGTGGCTGATGGGGTAAGCAGGTCCCTTCTGGAACAATCTAGTTGGTCAGCTGAGGAATTGAGTCTCCTTTGGTTTTTGAGATGGGTAAGCATACCTGACTGCTATAGTCTGCCCTTGCATGTCTGGGAGGGGTCCTAGCTATATAATGTGAGAAAAAGCTGGTTCACAGACAACTGAAAATGTCAACAAGCATTGCTGTCCCCAAACTATTTTGCTCACACATCTATCTGTAGATTGGCCTAAGGGTGCTTAACTGGCTTAAGTCATTTTTCTCTTTTTTTTCTCTTTTCTCTTTTTTCTTTCCCCCTAATTGCCAGGTTATGGTAATTTACATTTGCAAAGCTAACTTCACAAGGAAAAGGGTCACGAATATGTGTTTTTGAAAATCAAAGCTCAGCTTTGCCGCCTTGGCTGCTACAATGCCAATTCTGTTAACATGTGGCTCTTCAAAGCCCTTTCTAGCTCATCCATACATGCACGGCCAGGGATGTAAGCAAGCAGAAGGGCAAGCAGGAAGAGGGGACATGTTTGCTTTCTAAACAGGCAACAGTGTTCATACAAGTTGCATCACAAAGGTAGCTGACTAGGGCTACGTCTACACTGCAGTGTTTGCAGCAAGAGCCTGTGCAAATGAAGCACAGATTAGCATATCGCCGTGCTTCACTTGCATAATTTATTCAAGCCATTTTTGCGCAAGGGGTTTTTGTGCAAAAACAAGGAGTGTGGACGTGGGGTTTTTTTTTTTTTTTACAAAAACCCTGTTTTGCACAAGATCCTTATGCCTCTCCTGGAGAGGAGTATGGGATCTTTTGAAAAAGGGGATTTTTTTTTTGAAAGAATCACATCTAGATGACAGTTTCACTTTCAAAATACCCTTTTTCAAAAGACCGCTGTGATGCAATTATGCAAATGAAGTGCAGGATATTTAAATCTGTGCTTCATTTTCACTTTCAATTTGTCTAATTTACATTCCTCTTTCGACAGAGGGATGTAGTTTAGACATACCCTTAGGTACATCTACACTGCAACACAATTTTGAAAGAACTAGCATTATTCTGAAATAACTTAGTCTGCGTCTACACAGCAGGCTGTTATTTTGAAATAGTGTCAAAATACTGTCAAGCTGGAGGACGACTTACTCCAACTCCAGTCATCCTCCTTGTACGAGGAGTAAGGGAAGTCAGAGGAAGAGTGTTCTATTTCGAAATAAGTGCGGTGTGGACTCTCCCAATTTCGAAAGAATCTATTTCAAAATAAGCTAAACAATTGATGTAGCTCAATTTGCATAGCTTATTTCGAGTTAAGCCCTGCAGTGTAAATTCACCCTAAGGGTGCTGATATAGGAGATGGCAGTATTTGCTACCATTATGCCACATCCTCCTGTAGTCCAATTGGCAGAGACCTTTTCCATCACTGATACTAGCAGCCTAAGCAGTTACTTATGGTCATGTCCTTCTGGAATCAATCTCCCACAGCCCTACTCTTCTGCAGACAATGAAGCCTCCCTTTGATCTGGTTTCCTTTTTATGCAGATTTGAATCACAGTCACAGTTACCCTCCCTCAGTATTTTTTTTCTCTTTCGCAACTAACACAGGCCAGAAGAAACAAACATCCTGCCAAATATTTTGAAGAAAGTTGGCCGCACCCCTCTGGTTCGAATCAACAAGATTGGAAAGGCCTATGGACTCAAGTGTGAGCTCTGTGAGTATCTCCCTTCCACTGCACTTCTCTCAGGTTTGCTGAGCTCAGTGACACGCTCAAAAGCTGGGAGGAATAAACAAAGCCTCTTTTATGACAGAGTCTGTTACTACAGGTTGGGAAAGCATGACCGGAAAGCTGGCGTAGCTGGGCTAACCTCTGGACCTTGGGTTATATTACGAGTATTTATCCTAGCTAAAATGGCAGTCTTCATTTCACATGGCAAGGCAACAAGCACCTGACAGTAATGTAAGCCTGGATCCTACAAGCTGCTTTGCTCACAAAGACTCTTAATACTACTACTACTACTACTAGCCATACCACTCAGCTGCATTTTTGCAGCTGTTGGAGCCTGAGTATTTTGTGATTGGTTTTTTTTTTTTAAATCTCCATTTTTTTTAAATAGATTGTGTGTTGAGGACATTTGCAGTACTGTGTGTAGTTGATGAGTAGCAGGGTCACAGGTCACCGGGTTTGGAGGGAGAAAAATCTCAGAGCTGATTGTAGCAGCTGCTCCTGGTTTTTTGGCAGAAGCTGGGAGGACCAGCACAATGCAGAAGAATCTGGGCTGCCAACTTTCTAATCACAGAAAACCAAACATCTTATCCCCACCCCTTCTTGAGGCCTCACCACTGCCCTGCCCCTTCCTGAGGCCCTACCTCTGGCTCGCTACATTCCCCCTTTGTCAGTGGCTCCCTCAGATGTCTTGTGAAACAGGAGTCTCCCCTCTCAGCTGGTGCGTGGTGGCATGTGCTCCCTCGGATCATCTCGTGCACCTCCTGTGGTGCGAGCAACCCACTTTGGAGACCACTGCTGTAGGGCTAAGGTGCTGCAAGACTGAGGCAGACTATTCTCCGCCTCTCCTGGCACCACACTGTGCTCTGAAAGTAGCCAGTAGTTCTGGCTCCTAAGCAGGGGGGCCAGGAGGCTCTGCACACTACTCTTGCCCTCAGGCACCAGCCCCCCAACTCCTTTGCCTGTAAACAGCCAATAGGAGTACAGAGCTGGTGCTTGAGGTGGGAGAAGTATGTGGAATCCTGCCAACTCCCCACCTAGGTGCCAGATTTTCTGGGTGCTTTTGGGGTGTGGGGACTATCCTGTCCTAGTCCCGCAGCACCACCGACTGGACTTTGAATGGCCTAATTAGCGCTGCTGACTGGAGCCTCCAGGGTCCCTCCTTGACTGGGTGTTCCAATTAAAAACTGGACATCCGGTCACCTTATTCTGTAAGATCCACAATTCTGTAGTACATGAGCACAACACAGTGTCTAATGTATTTATCCTTACAACACCCATGTCAGGTAGGGCAATGCTGTTATCCCTATTTTACAGATGGAGAACTGAGGCAGAGCTGGTGGTGGCATCTCTCTCCTGTCTGCCCATCTTCCTGAATTAGTGAGAGACAAGGAAGGGGGAGGAAATGTCTTTAATTGGACTAACTGCATTTGGTGAGATAGATGAGCTTTTGAGCCATACGAAGCTCTTCTTCAGGTCTGGGAAGAGCAGTCTGCACATCCCAGCAAAATGCCTGGTGGAACAGATTGTTTAGCGTTAACTTCTCTCTCTCTCACCAACAGAAGTTGGTCCAATAAAAGGCATTACATCCCCCACTTTCTCTCTAATATCTTGAGACTGATGTGGATAAAGCTACGCTTCATATGTCAGGGCTGAACTAGCAGACCCTCAGATAGTGGTACTAAATATTTTTAAAGACTTGAAAACAGTTTTTTGAAATAAAGGAGATGGATTAAATATAATACGACGTTAGGCTTTTTTCCCCCTATACATTCATGATTTTTTCCGTTAAAGATGAACCAGAAGGCAAAGGTTTGAGTTGAACTGAGCCTGGATTTGTGTGTTGCACTAACTACCCAGCTGCCAGGTTTTATCAAGCTCTGCATGTGGCATTTCTCACAGATCAGAGGGTTGCTGATTTCCTACATACTTCCTGCCCCAAGCAATGGTAGGGACTAAGAAATGGAGCAGCACAAATCTTGGCAACTGAGGTTGCAGTATGTGAGTAATGAAGCCTGCTGCTTAGGTCAGTGGCTGGGGGAGTGCTGAAGGGTGGGGTGAGAACGAGACCTTGGCTAATATGTAGCAACGTGGAGGTGCTGTGGGAGCCTGGGGTCCCTCCTCTTCTCTCCCCATCAGCTGCTGCATGCATCCGCCTCCTTACTGTTCCCTCCCAATTCAACTCCAGCAGAGTGCTCAAAGCCTACCAGCCCCATGTGTAACTACGTTGGCGGGTGGAGGGGTACTCAGCATAGAAATATTTTTAACATTTTTTTTTAATATCCTCTTGAAATGTTCTTGATACACTCCCTGGCACTCTGCAGCTGTCTCAGAGGGCTTGTCTACACTGCCACTTTATAGTGCTGTAACTTTCTCACTTGGGAGCTGAGAAAACACCACCACCGAGCGCAGCAAGGGTGCAGCTACACTGCACTGTAGGTCGAAATACGATGCACAATTTGAGCTATGCAAATTGCGTATCTTATTTCGATGTTATTTCAAAATAGCTTATTTCAAAATTTGGTGCTGTCTATGCAGCACTTATTTTGAAATAAATTGCTGTTCCAAAACATCCCTTAGTCCTTGTGGAATGAGGTTTACAGGGATGTTGGAATAGCGAGCCCGTTATATTTTGAAATAACGGGCGCGCTCAAAAGACACGGAATAGATATTTTGGGATACCAAAATAGCTCTGCAGTGTAGACGTAGCCCAAGTTACAGAGCTCTAAAGCATCAATGTAAACAGGCTCCCAGAGCTGTTAGCTACTCCCTGTGAAGGTGAGTATCTAGAGCTCTGGGAGAGCTCTCTGAGTGATCTTGCCGTGCCCACATTGGTGCATTAAAAAGCTGCCACAGCTGCGCTTTAAACTTAGCATCCTAGACAAAGCCAGAATATATCGTTCTGTTGCGTCATGTGAGGTAATAGCTGTTACTGGACCACCTACTGTTGGTGAGAGAAACAAACTTTCAAGCTAGAGAGAGCTTTTCTTCAGGTCTGGGAAAGATAATTAGGGCTGGTCTACACTGAAAACTTGCATTGGCGTAGCTATGCCTCTCAGGTGTAGACAGCCCTGGATCAATGGAAGAATTCTCCTATTGACCTCGCTGCTGCCTCATGGGGAAGTGGATGAACTACACCAATGAGTGAATCCTTCTCTAGTGTTTACACTGAAGCACTGCAGGGGTGCCGCAGTAGCATTCAAAGAGTAGACATAGCCCCCGAGTGATGCAACTAAATGCAAAGGGAAACAGAGTTTTTAGCATAAGTAGATAACATATACCATAAAAGATCATTCAAGGTGAGGTAACTTCGAAAAAAGAGGTAGCGATGGAGTTGTAGGTTAGAGATTAAGCCATAAATCCACTGTCTTTATTAAGGGCCTGATGTTCAGTGACTAGCAAGGTTATGAGTGGAAGTGTCCAAGCTTGTCTTTTGAAGGTGTTGTGCAGGTTTTCCTTTGGGAAGGAGGACTGAGAGGTCAGATACAGAACAGTTGCTTTGTGATAAGTGGTTGTCCACAAGGGATCAGCTGTTTTTTTTCTTGTATCATTTTTCTTGCGAGTTCATTGAAAGGTTTCATGATTGTCTGCTCTCACCGTTAAGTTCCTTCTAAGCAGCACAGCCACGCAACAGCCTATTAAGCACCGTGCAGGTGCTCAGGTCTGTGACAGGGAGAACCTCCCATGGCAGGGAGAGGCTTCCCTCCCCGCTGGCACCAACCTAGCTCTGGAATGGATCTGCTGTGGCTAAGGTAGAGGTGCCCCTCTCTCTGCCCCAACCCAGCCCCAGCATGGAGCTGTGGCAGGAAAATGCACTTCTCCCCCACAGCCCATGTGCTGCTGTGGGTAGAAAGACCTGGAAGAACTTCTCCCCACCCCGCTTCCCCCCACCCTTCTACCCCAACTCCGAGCTCTTCATCCCTGGCCTCACTCCAGAGCTCACACCCTTAGCTAGAGGAGTAAGGATGTTAAATATCGGTTAATTGACTAGTCAATTAACCTCATGAATTCCTATCGGTTAGTCAACTGTTCTATAGTCCCTGGGGGTGGGGATGGTAGCCAGTGCACTCCAGCCCCACTCACGAGGAGCCCCCTGCTACTCTGCGCTGCTGCCTCTGATACAGAGGCAGCAGCGCGGGGCGC